CTCAACAATCCGCAGGTAGTCCAAGGTTCGATTCTGTCCCCTTTTTATTCACTATGTTTGCAAATGACATTGTTGAAACTCTTCTGGCATATATCAATTATGCGGATCACCACAGTGATAGTTGGGTCGCTGTAGTCGACCAAGGACCGGAGCACTTACGAAGACAGTGCCTCAACTCTGTGACGTTTCATCTCTTCAGGGTGCCTCATTCTACAGAAGGGGAGGACGAAGGAATTGATCTGTATGAATCGAACAACCAGACAAAAGGCGAATATTCAGCTTTTCACTGAAGTATCGGTTATTAGTAGTTAGCGTGTGTCCTAATTACGCAATATTAATTACCTCTGATTGATTCATTCAATCAGGAATTAACAAAGGGTTGCTGCAAGGCTTTGGTTTCACCTGATAACATGACAGAACCTTCAGGCGTCGCCAGATTCCGTTAGGAACTTCGTCTTGGCGTGTATCATTCCATTCTGTACGTATGCTGCTGTTGTAATATTCCTCAAACTGCAAACATTTCACCTCACGATTATGAGGAGCCTAGTAAAGTTAGTTTTCAAACCAAGTGGCCTGCCTCATAGCTATCTTGAAATATGGGCAGCCAAATCTTCTGCCGCTCATGACGTACAAACGACCAGGAAAGATTCTGGATAATCTGACCAACCCTGTGCATGAAGTCTTGCACATTGTCAATCACGAAGTGTGTCCACTAAACCTGCCTACCTCAGAATGTCTTCCGCATTCATTCCGGCCACTGTATATGTTGCTTTATTCGTTAATTATTCGTTTTATGCTTTTATTCATCGCGTCTTTACTATGATAAAAATGTAATTTGCTGTGGACTACCATCAAGTAGGAAACTGCCAAATTTTAGTCATCATCGATGAACACTTATGCTTTCGCCTCGTTGAGTCAGACGCGTCAGATAATGTCTCCAACGTTCCAGACACTGTATCAATGCCCTTTGACCTTTGGCGGACGATAGCCTGAAACTGTGGTAGCGTCCCTGACCAACGATTTTTTGGCTATTTACCTGGATCTCGCTCGGTTGAGATAGCAGTGGTAGTTTCGCCAAATTCTGTCAAATAAAAATACATAGGTAAGCATTGATTACATTCTTAATATGTCCCCCCTTCCTCGATCTGTTATTGGTGATTAATACCGTTACACAATTATGCCAAACAACGAGCTACCAGAGATTGCAAACAAGATCATTATGAGATATATATTTTGGCCTCAATCACCATACTGTACCCCGTTGAAAACATTTCCATCCTCATCGTCAGGCAAGGAGAGCTTAACAACGTGAAAACGCAGCGCACCAACCCCTCCATTTGATGTGACGCGAACTGAGTACGTACGAAGCGCAAATGCACGCCACTAGGTACATGTTGACGACGACGGGACAATCCGTAATAATAGGTGCGTCTTGTATGATTTTGTCTGTTGGAGTCACCCGGTGCTTGAGAGATATTTTAACGCTGCAGTGGTGTTGCTTGCTTAGGTGACTCCGTGGGCAACGGGGAGAAAGCGGGCGGTGCTATGCATATTGTAAACTGCTCCCTCATGAAATTTCAGTTGTCCATACGCTAGGTTTTGGAGGTGCGGATTTCAACTCGCATTTGCCAAGACTCGCTGTACGGCTGGTGTCAACATGCTTGGCGCTGTTTGCGTTAACGAGTCATACGCGTAACGGTAAGCTGTCTAATTGACGCTCTGCCCGTTCGACAGACTCAACCGCGAACCGACATGTTCTGCTGACGTGTGTGGTTTTCACCGAGGCGACAGGCTTGAAAGGTTCTTTATTTCCGATGTTTCAACCACGGCGTCAGATCTAGGTGAGTGCTATAGCCGGGCATGTACAATCAGCAGCTGAACGTTTGCCATACAAGTCATACTTCGAAAAAAATGTTCGCCACACAATTTGCCTCTGCATTGGTCCAGTCAAACTCAACTCAACCACGCTTTCTTGCATCTAATAAACTAAAAGTGCTGAATTGTCATAAATGGATACGCCATGGTGTCCAGAGACAACTAGAGCAAACAGATTGGTGTGTTCAATCAGAGTAGGTGTGATATCACAATTTGAAATGTACATGACGGAGCTATATGAAGTGCTCGACACAAAATCGAAATTGACTTTCGAAATCATCAACATCTATAGGTAGAATCGTGTTTGAAATTTGTAAGACAGCAGTCGCTGCAGTCTCCTTGCAGCGTATGCGGCATTATACATATCATGTGCAGTCCGGTGTGAGAACACGTTTTGAAATTCTTGATGTGGTTTCATTTTCAGTGCGCGGTGAAAAGTACCATCAACATATCAGTGTAAAGAAAAGCTCTAACAAACGATCTTTCAGAAATTTAAGGGAAGAATAGTTCAGAAATATATGGAACGAGTATGTTCCAGACTCCAGTTGTCTTTTGCCGAAGCTCAGACTCTGGCACAGGATCGGGAACATTGGAAGCTCTGTCTGACACGTCTGCCTCCGTGGCCCGAAGGGATAAGCGGCGAGAGAAGACGACGACGATGATGATGGTGATGATAATGATGATGATGATGATGATGATGACAGGTCAGAATTAATAATATTCTTTGCAGAATGACACTCATACCCAATTTGCTATTTACATATTCTAAAAATCTTCCGGGTCATGTTGGATTCGTTTTCAGGCAGTGACGTAATACATAGCATGTCTGTACAATGATGTATAAATTAATTATGCTAACTAATTGCTTAGGCCTAAGCATTGCCTTCGCTTTCATCGCTGGTACAGACTTTAACGTACACAATGCAGCTACCGCCTTCAACTCGTCGTCTTATGAGAAGAAACTGTGAAGTCGATACAGACATGTGATTTTACACAAATACACTTTATCCGATGTACCTGGGTTGAGGATCATCGTTTGACTGACATCAGTCGTTCGCTGAAAGCAAATAATTAGTCATTGGACGAGCTCTGTGTAGTGTTTAGTATGCCACGGCTGATTGGTCAGTGCTGGGGCATGTGACAATTACTGACAGCAATATAAGCTCCCGCAGACGCCAAAGGAATAGTTGTCACATTTCGGTTAGAGGAACGGTTTACAGCAAAGCAACATGAAGATGCTTTTACCTGTGTTACTGCTTGGTAAGCTGGTTCGTTTATGAGGTATCTCAATAAAGCTATTTTTTCCAGCCTCATCCTACACGTTCATGCCTGAAGTATTTTCGATCGACGTACTACCGCCATATCACGATTTCACATTGGAGCTGAATCAATCATCAAAGACATTCTGTAATCGCTGCGTGAATAGAAAATCCCTCCTGCCTATCCTGCATCTCACGTTGATAGATCAAAGAATAAGGACCATGGTCGACTACAACCGTCTGCGTCCCAAGAAAGTCACGATTGAGCGTCAGTAAGAGATAAAGATTTTGGCATTAGTGCCGATCAAGGTTTACTTAGGGTTTCTCATCGACCCCCCCCCGTTTTGTTTGATGGACGCGGCAACCCTTTATACAGATTCGTTTCTGTTTGGCGAACCAGAAGTTCGTTCTAAACTTTCACCGGTAAATAGACCAATTACGAAAGTGAAACAAAGTTTCACACTCATTCATAATCGTCAGTTATGAGGCATTTTCTCAATGACAAAATGGGAACTAGTGTTTTTCATTACAACCTTGAGCCATATCACCATATCAAACTATCGAGCGGCTAATGAATAGGTCAGACGTGAACTGCTTACTTATAATCAACAACTACAGTAGTCATAAGCCCTACCGAAAGCATACACGTAACAGACAACTAGTGTTGACCAAACGCGTAATGTTTCGTAATGTTGATTGTACTACTGTAATTTTTAGAATTATGAGCAACGGCAAGGACAGTTTAATTCATCAAGCTTGCTAACAGCTCGCTTAATCATATATCCAATTCTCTGAAAATAGAGTTTAAATAAACCGTATGAATTTTGCCAGCTAAATCGTTGTTCACCTAACAAATGACAAGAACAACTTCATCACATGTTTCACATAAAATATAAAAAGAAAAATAGGCATGGTGCAGAATGACTGCAAGCCAAACCCGTACGCATTTACACAGAGCACATACACGTGTCTAGCCGTGAGACAATGGATTAACGACAGAATGATTTGAACGAAAATTTTACCAACGGTTGAGGAGTCCTGTGGCAGATCAGCTAATTGGACATGTAGTCCTGAATTTGAAGGTGAACTACTAAAATAATTAATATGAGAAACTTAGAGCAAAAATAGCAATTGCAAACCACTTACTGCCTGATGCATGTGCGTTAATCCTGATTGGGTTGCTCTGTTGCCTTTGATGTGCCGACTATTGGAAATTTTTTATCCCGTTATATTTTCAACATTTTACCTTGTTGTTTTCCCTTAGCCGATCGATACTGAACCCGCCATAGGCTGAACTGAACACACCATTTGGTAGAACAAGAATTGGTTATTGCTATTCAGGCTAAGGCGTGACCAAAAATGATTTCATTTAATTTCTTCGTCAGCATTTTTGCTGTATATTTTGTCATGACCCGTACATCAGCAGGGCAGAGGCAAATCATCTTACGCTGACAGTCGTTCTTCACCCTAGGCTCATAATTGGCCATGGAATAGACACACCCATACCGCCGGAAACATTCTGTTAAACTCCCGCTACCAAACTCACACACCTTGACAGAAAGGAAGACCTGTGTCAGTCATGACCCGTTAAACAAACGACCGTTTATGAATTTTGATTAAAATAGGGTAGATCAGAATACAGTCTGATTTAATTCAAAACATATTTATTCGTCATGCAAAATTTCGTGATGCGCAGAAAGTCACATAGGCGGGACATTATTTAACTCACCGCTGGGTTTGTAAACTGAGGCAACAGTGCGAGTGATGCCTTGTGAATCAGAAAGAAAATGTCACTAACAGGTATGTGTCAGTGATTGTATCAAAAATAATCGCTGTCCATCAAACCAATGTTCTCTAAAAATAATGATAATCAAATAATAATATTATAATAATATAATAATGATATATCGTGTACATCACCGCACAGATCTGACACGAATGAGCACAGT